TCAGTCTCTACCCCTGGGAGTCATTCCAGTTAGAGAAATAGTAAACAATTAAGTATGATGGTCTATGAGATACTGTATTTTTTCAGAAATACTCTTAGATTATATGGAAGACATTTAAGATTTTTTGCTTTCAGTGAATAACAATGTCTAGAATACCTTAAGTGCTTATTATATTTTAGATGAATTGATGAAGAGTAAAGAGGAATTGATTGTGATGTGTGTTTGTGTGGGATAGGGGATGTTTCATATGACTTTTGAGCTGAACTTTGCAACGTGTAAGTTATTTATGTTGAGAACTAGGGAAGGAGATTCCAAAGAGAGCCTGTGAGGCATTAAAAAACCTTGATCTAGATTGACTGTGTATCTGTAGGCTTCTGCAGAGTACAAGATTCTTTTGTTTATATTATCTCTTTTGAGCCGTATAACAATTCCATGGGGTGAATTATACAGCGAAATCCTCAAGCCTTGGTCAGAAGCCAGGTTCTAAGATGTAAGAAAAATTATAATGAGTTGATCAGTTTTAGTAATTGATACATGAGGAAATTTTTTAAGAACTTCATTGTTACTATAAAAGTGATATGCAAAGGAGGGAATTTTTTTAAGGGTTTCAGACACTGACTAGAAAACACTTAGTATTTCATAGAATTTTTATTGTTCGGGATTTTCAGTACATTTGTCTACTGACAATAAATGGCAACTAAATTCCACATTCTTTCTTTTTTTTTTTGGTCCGGTTATGGGGCCTAAACTCTGGGCCTGAGCACTGTCCCTCAGCTCTTCAGCTCAAGGCTAGTGCCCTACCACTTGAGCCACAACGCCACTTCCTACCACTTGAGCCACAACGCCACTTCCGGCTTTTTTCTTTTTGCTTATGTGGTGCTGAGGAATCGAACCCAGGGCCTCAGACATGCAAGGCAAGCACTCTACCACTGAGCCAACTTCCCAGTCCCTCCACATTCTTTCTTAAGCTTTCTGTTTCTGCTGTAGTTAATCAAGTTTGTTGACTTTAATTTTATAAAATGATTGCTTAAAATTCTTTGTGTGTTACAGCTCTATCTACTGTGCCACATGTGTGGTTAAGTTAGTGTTAGTATCTTCTTCATATAAAATGAAGGTCCAATTTGTGAGCATGACTCCTGCACATTGGCTGGTGTATATTGTATTTTGAAATATGCTCTGCAGTGTATTTTCAGACTAAAAGGTATAAGGGTTTAAAAGAAGAAACACTTTTTTCCCAAAGGGTGGGCTATTTGTAACTTTAATTTTTCTTAGGTTATTTTTCTTTTCAGGTTAATCCAGAAAACACTGTTTTACTGCAATTCAGATTGTGCTATAAAATTACCATCATCTATCTTCAGATCTTGTAAAAATGTGAAATACTTTTTAATTTTTACATTTCTTTTCAGGTAGAAAATTACTTACTAAATTAGAAATATATTTCCACAGAACACTTTTTCAGTTTTTCTGAATGCTGCTACTGCTGCTTAAGTTGTATATACTTAAGGTGTAAAGCTTTATATTTAGTCTAAATTGACTTTTTTTTTATGGTTGTCATTTGGCAAATTGGCCAACTTTTTTTTTTTTTTAGTTGGTTGTGGGGCTTGAACTCACTGTCCCCTCAGCTCTTCAGCTCACAGTGAGCATTCTACCACTTAAGCCACAGTGCCACTTCCAGTTTTCTGGTGGTTAGTTGGAGATGAGAGTCTCACGGACTTTTCCTGCCTGGGCTGGCTTTTGAACCACGATCCTCAGATCTCAGCCTCCTGAGTAGCTAGGATTATAAGCATGAGCCACCAGCGCCCGGCTTGGCCAGCATTTTGGTTTTTTTAATTTTTAACTTCTTTGTTAATTGCTTACAGTTGTAAGATATAATACAAGGAATTCCATGTATTCTTTACCAGTTTTCTCCAATGATAACAACTTGCAAAATTAAAATACAGTATCACAAACAGTATACTGACATTAATATAATCAAAATAAAGAGCATTTCTGTTACCACAAAGATCCTTGTTATACCCTTCAGTAAACAGTATGTGTCCCTCATACCTCTACCCTCTGCATTAGCCCTTTACAACCACTGATGTAGCCACCATTCCTGTCATAATTTCACTTCAGTAATACTATATATGTGTGAAATATACCACAAATAAACTTTTAAGATTGACTGTTTTGTTCTTTTTGTTGAGATAGGGGTTCACTTTGTTGCCCTGGTTGACCTCAAACTCCTGGGCTTAAGCAGTCTTCCTACCTCATCGCTTAGAGTAGTAAGATTAGCACTTTTCACTTGCTGTAATTCTCTGGAAATTCAGTGGGGTTATTGCATGTATCAGTAGCTCATCTCTCTTCCTGCTGAGTCGTACTGTGTCATGGATAGACCGTGTGTCTTGTTTAACCGTCCACCCATTAAAGGACATCTGGATTGTTTCTTGTTTTTGCTATTACAAATAAAGTTGTTGTAAACATCTGTGTATAGGTTTTATGTGAACCTAAGTTCATTTCTGAGATAAATGCCCAGGATAGGATTGTTAGTGGTTGTGTGTTTACTTTTTTAAGGAATTGAAACAGCAAAACTTTTTCATAGTGGAGTCTCACTAGTAATACAAAAAAGAAACTAGTTTTTCCCTATCTTCATCAATATTTGGTGGTGGATTTTTTTTTTTTTTTTTTAATTCTTACAGTGCTGGGAATCAAACCCAGGGCGTTATACCTGATAGGCAGGCATTCTTCCACTAAGATACATTGCCAACCTACTTATTTTTTTGTTTTAGCTATTTGGTAGGTGTATGGTGATAACTCATTGTAGTTTAATTTGCATCTCTCTAATAACTAATGATATTGAGCATCTTTCCATATGCTTATTTTCTATCTGCATATCTTCACTGAAATATCTCGTGTCTTTTTTTTTTTTTTTTTTTTTTGGTCGGTCGTAGGGCCTGAATTCTGGGCCTGGGTGCTGTCCCTCAGCTCTTCAGCTCAAGGCTAACACTCTACTACTTGAGCCACAGCACCACTTCCGGTTTTCTAGAGGTTTATTGGAGATAGTCTCACGGACTTTCCTGCGGGCTGGCTTTCAACTGTGATCCTCAGATCTCAGTCTCCTGAGTAGCTAGGATTACAGGCGTGAGCCACCAGCACCTGGCTTCTAGAACTTCGTGTCTTTTACCTGTATTCTAGTTGTTGTTGTTTTTAGCCATATTCTAGGTGCCTAGTCCTTTGTTAGATATATGTGGTTTATAAGTATTTTTTCCTCATAACAGGATTGTTCTTTGAGTCTTTCTGGAGTAGAGATAAGAGCTAGTCTAGACATAGAGAGAGTGATTTTTGAGGGGGAAAAAAAGGGAAAAACAACTGCTATTTATTGAAATAGCAAGAACCAAGTGTCTTAAGTCAGACTACTTGAGTTTGAGTCCTAGCTCTGTTGGATAATAACTATAGGCCTCTTGGAAAAGTTAGCTTTCTGTTCCAAATCACAGTTTTCTTTTTGTAAATTAAAATGGTAGAATCAACCTCTTAGAATTTTGGAAGGATTAAGTTAAAATAGGTATTTAGGATATTGCTCCTCATAAGCCAGTGTTAGCTGTCGTTATTCTTAACATAAGTATCAAATTAATAGCTTATCTGCTCTTTTGTACTTAATTTGTTTCTTTGGTTTTATCTTCCATAAGACCATTAGCACAAAACTAGTTTGTTGAACTTAACAATAGAATTACTTTTTTATTATTATACCGCCTGGATTTTAAAATGTCTTATTTTTATGTCCATCCACTGTGAACAAGGCACTATTAACCTAAGCTAATCACTCAGGCTTTTGTGACCTTGTGGCCACTTTACCTTAATAGCTGTTCATCTGTGGTTCTCTGTCTCATTTAAGGTCTACTGCCTCATTTCTTTACCCCTCTCTGACCCAGTAGCCTCCAAAGGCACTTCTGTACACATTTACTAAAAGAATAATACTTAACAATAGATTTCACCAGAATAGTGGATTCAGCTAGAATTCCACTATCTATGCTTTGATTTAAAATCTATTCTATAATAATAGCAAATGAATACCTACTGATTACTATTGCTGGGGACTGATGTAATCATTACATAGATAAACTGCTTTAATTCTCTAAACATGTAGGTTCTATTATGGTTGCTAGCTTATAGATGAGAAAACTGAGTCAGAGAACTTGTCTACTAATGCGTGGTCAAGTTAGGATCTTAACAGTCACATCTTACAAATTTAAAATTCTTAATCACAGAATTTATGCAAGGTATTTATGATACTTATCTTTGTTCCTTAATGCAAGCAGTAACTTGGATTTTATAGCCCATTAACCTGACAATATAATTTGAACTTATTTGATAGAATTAGAGATTCTTTTGGGGAAAAGTAGTTAGGGGAAAAATGAAATTGCCTCCTATGTATCTTGCAATGTGCCACGTAAATCCAGATGTCTAGAAGCTTACTTTGACCAAATTTATGCTCCAGAAATGGCTTGTTTCTTTCTTTCCTCCAGTGTGTGGCATTTAAAGGTGTACAATTCTAAAATTTAACAAGCTGAAATTTGATTTCCCAAAAACTCTCCAGAAAAGGAAGAAACTTTAAAATGTAAATAATTACTACTTACAGGTTATCACTCCTGTATTTGCCTCTCCTGTCTCAACAAGTTAGTTGTAATTCTTGTTTTGAGTAGATGGTAGTGACAACTCTGAGCTATATAGACTAAAGAACTTTTATTTCTTTATGTTGTCATTAAAACTGCTCTGACTTTAATAAGCAGGTACCTCTGTGGGGAAAGATTTAAGTTACCAAATAAAAGCAAGATGTAAATTATATTCATGTGCAGAGATTAATTTCAGAGTCCAGAATTTTCTGTAGGTATCCAAAGTATCCTTTATATTATCTTTTATTTATCTCATAAATGTCTGATATGGTTATAAATGTAAAGAAATTAAGTATAAATGTTAAGCATTGTGTAATAATTCCAGGATTTGAAATTTCTTTTTGTTTGCAGCTCAGATCGTCTGATAGAAGAAACAATAAGGTAGGATAAACTTATGGGGTTTTTCTTTGTATTTTTTCACACATTTAATGAATAGATTAAGTTAGCTGGATTACCTTGAGTAAAAATCAAGTCATCCTTAAGAGTTTCAGTAGATTGTATTTTTTTTTTTTAATTTTTATTTTTTGTCGGTCATGGGGCTTGAACTCTGGGCTTGGGCACTGTCTCTGTACTCTTTAGCTCAAGGCGAGCACTCTACCGCTTGAGCCACAGTGCCACTTCCGGTTTTCTAGTGGTTTATTGGAGATAAGAGTCTCATGGACTTTCCTGCCCAGGCTGACTTTGAACTGTGATCCTCAGATCTCAGCCTCTTGAGTAGCTAGGATTACAGGTGTGAGCCACCGGCACCCGGCTGATTGTAATGTATTTATAAGAGAGCCCAAAATATTTTCTAAGTTATTAGGGTGTTACAGTTTTTCAATATATAAAGCCTTGTTTTGGGGAAAGATGGAGGGTAGTATGTGGAAACATTCGTTTTCTTACTACAGGTCTTGATTCTGTACTAAAGCACTCTTTGAACTATTGTATTTAGTCTTCTCAGAACTCATGAAATAGGTATTAATCATTAGGCACTATCTCCAAAATGAAAAAGGAACAATTTACATATAGCCACGTGACTAATGAAGAACATTGGAAATTCAAATCCCTTATTGAAGTGTCTCTTACTAGAGTCAGAGCTCTTTCTAAACCATCAATACATTTACCATTTTCTAGAAAGAATTGAGGCTTTTGGGTAGGGGTTGGTTAGAAATCTGATTATGCTCCTATTAGATTTTTGTTCTTGGATAAATTACTGTAACTTTTTGGAATCTTTACAAATGAGGTTAAAGTAAAAGCAAAGAGTTTTATTCCAGTACAAAATAGATTGTCAAATTGGTGACACAGTTTAATTAGACATTAAATAAGTTTCCATCAAGGGGAAGAACTGTGGGATACGGTGAAGTAACTTGTTTTGAACTTTTTGTTTGCTTATCTGTGGTGCCAGGGATAGTGTTTGGGACTTTGCACATGCTAGACAAGCACACTATCACTGAGCTATATCCAAAATTCCCTGAGCAGTTTCTAGTTGGCTGTTTTAGCTATATAAGTTGTATTGAATGAATTTAGATTGGTGCTTAGAGTCTCTTCATACATTGATATAGATATAGATATACACATATACATATACATACATATATATGATTAAGTAGGGGCTATTGTAAGGGAGTTTGCAATAAGCAATGTCTTTTGAGACAGTCTACAGAGAAATCCAATTTTACATCTTATAAGGACATTTTTTTTTTTTTACAAATATCACTTTGTATCTAAAAGTTAAAGCTTGAGTAACTTGTCTGTGAGGTAAACTACAGTTCATGAAATGCAATCTCTTCATCAGAAAATTTGTACTCCCTGTTAACCAAACTGCAGCCATCTTAATTTTTATTTCCACCCTACTTTCTTATATGTTTAAAGTCATGAAATTGATCATACATGTGCTTCTCTTATAATATTTTTGTGAACATTAAAGGTAATGTTAAAAGAAAGGGTTGCAGGGCAGGGAAGGTGGCTCAGTGGTAGAGCGCTTGCCTTGCATGCATGAGGCCCTGGGTTCGATTCCTCAGCACCACATAAGCAAAAAGAAAAAAGCCGGAAGTGGCACTGTGGCTCAAGTGGTAGAGCGCTAGCCTTGAGCTAAAGAGCTGAGGGACAGTGCTCAGGCCCAGAGTTCAGGCCCCACAACTGGACCCAAAAAAAGAAGGGGTTGCAGGTGTAACTCGGTGCTAGAATACTTACTTGCCTAGCCCTGCAAGGTCCTGTGTTTGATTCCAAGAAAGAGGGAAAGGAAGAATGAGAGAATGAGGGCACGAGGGGAAGAGGTAAAGCTTGACTTATCTCACTTAACAGGGTATTCTCTATTCATTAATTTTCCTTCAAATAACATAACTTTAATTTTCTTCTTGACTGAGTAATTCCATGGTGTATGTGCATATTTATACATATATATACACATCTATATATAGGTATATATTATATATACCATGATTTGTCTGTATATAATATGTGTATATATACATGTGTGTATATATGTATGCACACATATACACCATAATTTCATTATTCCTTGGTTGTTGGATTCCTCAGCTGATTCTGCAGTTTGGCTGCTTTTAACAGAGCTTCAATAAACATGGCAATGCAAGTGTCTTTCCTGTGTATTGATGTATTCTCCTTTAGATATAGGCCCAGCAGGATCTGCTTTTAGCTTTTTGAGGGATTTCTTACAGATTTTCATAGTGGTTATACTAGTTTACATTCCCAACAATCATGTGTAAGGGTCTCATCCAATCCTCACCAGCGTTTATTGTTATTTTTCTTGGTGTTACTTTGTTCTGCATTCCCTTATGGTTAAGGGTCCTTCTATTTGTGCTTCCTTGCGTCACTGGAATGACTCCATGCCACCATGCCCAGCCATTGTGCTTCCCCTGGTATAGAATGGAAACTAGAGAAAAGAGGACTTTGCAGTTGACAAACTTGACAAGACGCCACCAATGGATGACCAAGGAATGATCAGGGTCAGCATTATTACTAACAAGTCATGTCCACCATATGCAGACTTGATGTAATGTGGTGTAGGCAGAGTGACACTTTATGTCTGTGGTCTTCCAGTTAAGAACATCATAAAAGCCCAAACTAAGAGGCAGTTCACAATATAGTTGGGTCAGTCCTCAAAACTGTCAAGGACATCAAAAACAAGGAAGACCTTAGAACCTGTCAGAAACAAGAGGCATAACATCTAGTGGATTGAGACCTGGGAACAGATAAAAGGCATTAAATAAAAATGTAGGAAATCTAGGTAAAGTATGAGCTTTGATAATAAATGTATCTATATCAATTATTAATGTATACCCTACTAAAGTAAGGTACTAAGAATACTAGAAACTTAGGACAGTTTATTACTGAAGTCTGCAATAAACGGTACACTTTTCTGGATAATCCCAAGTATACCAAAATTAAAAGTAAGAAAGCTCTCATAATAAGCATGAGGTTAGATTTAAACTAGGATATTTGACCTGAAACATCAAGTTATTAACAATGAGGAAAGTACAAAGACAGGAAACAATGACTAATTTTACAATCCAATATCCAGTTATAATGCAATAATTATTCTTTGTCTTCTCCATAAATTTGAATGGATTTCTAATGATTAAATTTCATAAATATGAAAAAATTAGATGTACCTCAAGGAATAAGAACACTAAGAACTATTAACTTGGGCTGGGAAGGTGGCTCAGTGGTAGAGCGCTTGCCTTGCATGCGTGAGGCCCTGGGTTCGATTCCTCAGCACCACATAAGCAAAAAGAAAAAGCCGGAGGGCTGGGAAGGTGGCTCAGTGGTAGAGCGCTTGCCTTGCATGCATGAGGCCCTGGGTTCGATTCCTCAGCACCACATAAGCAGAAAAAGCTGGAAGTGGTGCTGTTGCTCAAGTGGTAGAGTGCTAGCCTTGAGCTGAAGAGCTGAGGGACAGCGCCCAGGCCCAGAGTTCAGGCACCATGACCAGCAAAAAAAAAAAAAGAAAAAGCCGGAAGTGGTGCTGTGGCTCAAGTGGTAGAGTGCTAGCCTTGAGCTGAAGAGCTGAGGGACAGCGCCCAGGCCCAGAGTTGAGGCCTCACAACTGGACCCAAAAAAAAAAAAAAGGACTATTAACTTACTAAAAATAAAAAATGTTACTGGAAGGCCTTTTAGTTGAATATTATCCTTTGTCTCCAAGTATGACAGGCATCACAAGTAAAATTTTACTGAATATAAAGCTAGTTATGTTAACCTATATATGAAGATAAGTTCAAATTATTGTTTTGTCATATTCCACATGTCAGAATTTACCTTTTCGTATTGGAGATACATTTTTAAAAAATTGTACAACTTGAGGGTTGGGATGTAGCTCAGTGGCAAGGCACTTGCCTAGCAAATGCAACATCCTGGGTTCAATCCCCAATACCAAAAAAGAAGATAAAAAAATTGTACAACTGAATATAGATTTTGACAAGAATTTATTAAAAAGAACTAAAAGTTTATTTAGATTTAAATGTGTAACTAGTATTGTCTGTTGTTGAAAATGAGTTTACATCGTATAAGAAAGTTGAAGTTCCAATAAGCACATCAATGATTTATTATTTTAAAAGCATTATATATTATTTGGAACTTTTATAGTGCCTCTAAGTATTTGAGCGTTGAAATAATAGTCTAGATTTCACTTAGCTCAACTCTAAATGATGGAATGAGATGTGAAAGTATGTCTAGATAGATATATTTTATGTGGTTTGGAAACCATGCATCTTCAACAAGGTAATAACTTTATGTATGATGATCATATCCATTTCTCAGAGGAAAGCAAGTGCAAAGTGCTCATTTTTTTATTTCTACCCATTTGTGAGTCAGCGTATGCAGGAGATAGTGATAGTTCCAGTTTTAAAACCAGATGATTCATAGGTTTGAATTCTGATACTGACTGATGTAAATTTCAAAAAGAATTTTGTCAATTCCCATTTCTACTCTTTAGGCTGAGGTAGGATCATAAATTCAAGGCTAGCTGAAGCTATAGCATACCCTGGGGACAGAGGAGAGTGTCCACTGATCCAAGCCCTCATCTATTTGGACAGCTCCCCACTGGTGACCGACCTGGACTCTGGGATCTTTTTTGTTGATGGTGGTGGTTGTGGGACTTGAATTCTGGGCCTTGGGCGCTGTCTCTGAGCTCTTCAGCTCAAGGCGAGTGCTCTACCACTTGAGCCAAAGCACCACTTCCAATTTTCTGGTGGTTTATTGGAGATAAGAGTCTCATTGACTTTCCTGCCAGGGCTGGCTTTTTGAACCACAATCCTCAGATCTCAGTTTTCTGAGTAGCTAGGATTATAGGCATGAGCTACCAGCACTCGGCAACTCTGGGATCTTCTTGAGACCAGATGGTTTTTCTACAGTGACTTGGTCACTTACAGGACTGCTAGCTGCTTCTCATCTCCTGTACCCCAGTTGAATAGAACTTGCTCATATCCTTCCTTGACCTGATCATCTTCTTGTCCTGCTGGGCCTTCTTTAACACATCACCTGCTTACTTTTTCTTCTTCCCTTTCGATGTCTCTTATTTGCCTGTCAACAGCTCTCATTTCTTTTCTTATCTGCAGTGACCATTAAATACCTATCTCTTGGGTCAGCTTCTCCAAGCAACTCCACAGCACACTAAACTCATTTTGTGCCTTCTTAGCTTTTTGTTCTCTGGGGAAATGGGCTTTGTGGGATGTCTTCAGATGTTTTCATTGTCCTTTACACACTGTTGTTTCTTTTTTCTGTCTTAATTAACATTTTGAGTCATTTGTCATTTGCTTAGCGTTCTCTTTCCCTCTCTCCCACTCTCCCCCCCCATACTCCTTCCCTCTCTTCTTCCCTCCCTCTTTCCCCCCTCCTCCCCCCCTCCCCCCTCCCGCCTGCCTCTCACATATCTCATTTCAACAATATACTTGATGATCTTTTTTTCTGAGGCTTCACTTGTCCAAAAATGTGTTCATTGGCATCTGGGGTAGATCAAGCTATTAGAGGTTCAAGCAGTAGCATGTTAGTTACAAAAAAGGCATTAACGCAGATGTTTTTTAAAACAGGACATTGGAATAGTCACATGAAGGAGACTGCCTTCCTGAAGTTTCCCCCTCTTTGACAGTCATATTTAGCAACTATATCTTTGTCAGCTCCTTGGAAACCCAGCATAATGTTGCTGCATCTATGTCCCAAATTCTGCTTAGTGATTCTCAAGTAGAATTTTAAAACCCAATTTGTTTATTAATTGAATGCCAATTGTATATGAATACATACTATATTTCCATTTTTATGGTTATGTCTGAACTTCCTTCTCAACAGTTTTTCCTGATTAAGAATATTTTGGTAACTGGTTACTTTTAAAACTATTTGCAGATGCTTTTGTAATATGATTTGTCTGTTAATGACTTGTTTCATTTGTTATTTTGAAGAAAACAGAAAATACATTGGTAGCAGTGGATCATTCAGATAAAGGGCAATGGGAAAGTGGGCGGGGAGTGATTTCCTGCATTCTCCCATTTTCCTGCTGGTGTTTATCAAGATAATAGTGCTCACTGTAGTTTTCTATTTACTTTTAGGGTTATGATGAATCCATTCAGGGCAATCTCTAAAATGCCAATTTAATTACTTTTTTTTTTTTAAGCATTGCTATGGCAACAAAGGAAAATATGACCTCTCAGAGAGGAATGCTGAAGTCAATTCACAGCAAAATGAACACCTTGGCCAGTATCCTTTTTGAAAGTTTGAAATTTATGTTGAGGCATGTTTATGCCTTTCTTTGGGGGTTGGGGATAGATAATCAGGTAGCCAGCATGAGTAGGGGTAAAGCACCTCAGTAATTGTACACTACAAATACCTTTAAAAGTTCATGCTGTTTTGTACCATTTCCAGTCTGAACACCAGAGGTTTAATACTAGTAGATTATATTTAAAAGTTTGGCATGGACATAGAGGTATACACCTATAAACCTAGGACTTGGGAGGTAGAGACAGACTTGCAAGTTCAAGGCCAGCCCAGACTGCTCAATGAATTCTCTATCAGTGTGATCTACAAAATGAGATCCTATTCCCCTCCCCCCCCCCCCAAAAATAGTAAATAGACAAATATAAAAGTTCAGAATCTGTGTCAGGACTTTCTGGTATACATTATTAGCTAAAAACCCTAAATTATTTTCCTAGTTCAGTGAACATGTGGCAGATGCTTGGAAGAGGTCAGAAAGACCAGCCTATAGATAGATGTTTGTGTTATAACTTCTTGTAGAGGGTGCTGATCGGGTGCATAGGCTGAATTCCAGGACAGACTGCTTATATACTATGACCTCTACTTTTTCATTATGTTTGGTTTCCCAATTTAAAATTAAGCTAAAAAAAATAAAATTAAGCTTACTAAATCCTTTTGAGAAGTCCTGTACTGCTAACCTGCCATTCTGAAGCTTTTTTTTTTTTTAACTCTCTGACAAATTTTCTTCCCAACTATGGGAAGAAGGACCTATAATTTTCAAAAGCTTAGTATCTTCTGGCCCTAGATTATTTACGGTCCCTTTGATTGCCTTAGGAAAAAGATATCCCGGAGGTTGGTGGTATTTCCTAGTCTTTTGTGAATTTCATTCTTGCCTTGTTACCCTAGTGTGAAAGCACATATCCAAAATCACACTGTTCTGTTCAGTTTACATAGTATAGCTTTATGCATTATTTCATCATTAGCACAAATGTTGTGGAAATTATTATTGTTCTGCAGATGACAAACTGGGCCCAGAAAAGTGGCTTGGCTCAGGTCAAGATAGTAGTATATAGCAAATTAGACACTCAAATTTTAGTTGGCATTTTTCATGAAATCATGCTATAGACCTCTTCTTTATCCCCCTTTTTAATAAGGTCTTGTTGCCCAAGCTGGCATGTTCTTTTTTGTTGTTGTTGTGCTAAGGGTCAAACTTGGGGCCGTGTGCATGCTGAGCTCCATCCCCAACCCCTGTTCTTTTGAGACAGTCTTGCAGTATAGCTCAGGCTGGCCTTGAACTCAAGCCTCCTGCCTCTGCCTCCCCAGTGCTGGAATTACAGGCATATACCATCTGCCTAGCTCTTCCGTAAACTATGAACTTGGTCTCCTTTCTTAAACTGTGAAATTAGTTGCCAGCAACAACAGAGGCTACTTTGTGAATAAAAATGAGCTTATAACTGGGTGCTAGACCTCAGATCTCAGCTTCCTGAGTAGCTAGGATTACAGGCATGAGCCACCAGTGCCCAGCCAACTAAAGCTTTTTAACCTACTTTCCTACTATATTCTGCCTTCTGCTGCAAAATAAAATTAAAAATTTAAATAATTCTCCAGTGCCTGATTGTATATGCCATAATTCCCGCCAAATTGCCCGACTCCTAGAAGGGTTACTTATACCTGAGGGGAAGAGGATTGGGTTTTCTTAAACCCTCAGCAGCACTCCTGTCTTCTGTGCCCCCCTGCCTGCAGACCTTCTCTGCTCCTGACTGTACTGACTTCCACCCTGACCTGAAGCTTGTCAGGAATCACTCAATATGAGGTTATCACTCTTCTTATTTGTATAGTACACACAAGAACAAGAGATGAGAATTTGCCCTAGTTTTGGAATTGTTTGTGAAGACATCCTCGGTGTGATTTTCTTCCCTTCTTTTCATCTCTCATTTACTGTTTCTGGTCTCTCCCCACCACTCTTTATGTGCTTCCAGTGACTTCTCCAAAGAGGCTTTTCATGCATGACCTTAATAAAGATTCCCAAAGATCGTTTTCCTGCTGTCAACAGCCTGATCCAGAGAATCAACCTTAGGAAGCGGCGCGACTCCCTCATCCTAGGTGGTGTAATTGGCATCTGTACCATCCTATTGCTGCTGTATGCTTTCCATTGATGGGTACCTTCCAGGACACTTGGAGCCGCCATCTGGAATAAAGAAAAATGGGAAGGAGAAGTTGACTGTCAATCACTAGCCTGACCAGCTGGATGAATTCAAAACTGAAATGACGGGCTCTGTTATGTGGTCGGGTTGAGCTGAAGCCACGGTTTTTCTGTGCTGTCTTTTCTAACACACATTTCTCTGTTTTTAATTTTAAAAAAGAAAAACAGTTTTCAATTGGTTTGTCTCCCTAGGAGGTAAGTAAACCAATGAAAAACAGAGTTTCTGTGCTTCAGTGAGAATGTTGAAGCCTGAGGGACAGCTGCGTGCTTCAGAACACCAAGTTCCTTTATATCCAAAGACTGCTTTTCTTTTGGCCACCAGGTTGGGTTGTGAATAAAAATAATTCTTGTCCTTTTATTTAACACTCATGATGATAAATCACTAGTCCTTTCTTGATAATCTGTGCTTTAGATTTCTACTCTGTGTCCCCAACTCTTTGGTATTCAAGGAAAATTTTGGTATTCTACTTTCCACAGATTCTTTGAAATGTGATAAGCCAACTTGAACATGTTGTGGTTGTCTGACATGGAGATTACTCAAAAAAGGGTTTGTCTTTTTCTTCTAAGTTGTGAGTACACTGGGTCAACTATATTACTGAAAAAAACATCAACAATGACAAAGCCTCTTCTTTTTAAGGAACCAGTAATTGTTTTAATTTTTTTCAAAAGCTCTTTTCATTATATTAGTATATATTGCTACTAAAGACGATGAAATCTGTGTCCTCCCATGACAAAGAAACGAACAGCTGTGGTCTGTCAGTGCCCTGTGCTTCTCACCACATCAGAGCTCGCACCAGCCACCCAGAGGGCACTCTTTCCAGTGTGAAGCCACACGTCTTTAAATGACATTGCAGGGTTGCTATCCAAATGGTTGCATTTATAAGTGCTCTGCAACTTAGGAGCAGTGCATTGGTATCAAGAAAGCAGTGTCCTGTGAAAATCGTTTCATTCCAAATCTGTTAAGCTTTTCCAAACATCCAGAGAGAGGTTCCACTGTTGCAAGTAATTGTGAAAGATTTGATGTGTGCCTGCACCCATCTTCTGGACAGCAGCAAGATATTAAACTATGCATCAGAATTCTTTTCAAGTTTAAGCCATTGCTTGGTTTCTATAAATTTGTTCCTTGTCTTACTGAACTGTCATGTATCTTAGAGACTTGCAGCACCCATGCTCCTCACAAAGGGGGACTGGCCCTTTTGGTGGAATTGAATGTGATATTTATTGTATGGACCTCCAACTGTGCCACGAGATTGAAAGTATATTAGCATAGAGTTCTTTGCTGCACTATGTGTGTTGAAATACTGTTAGGTGGACTTGATAGACTGTCTGCTGGGTAGACTAACGCCACGTCTGCAACAGAGACTGAGAGGGTTGTCATTCTGGTGTCAAAGTTTTATTCCATTTTGGGAATGAAGGAAAGGCCTTTTGATATATTTTTCTTAATCATGGGGTTTATTTTTTTAAACATGGATCAATTGACTAGAGATGCCCTTGACATTCAGTTTTGAACTGTGAATCTTAAAGGATCAGAGAAGTAAGTTCATTTAGTCAGTTCTTCTTTGGGAGAATGAGACGTCTCTCCGTGGATGCTTTATTATCTTTGATTTTTCAAAGGTTTTTGATTGATGGTATGCCTCAGCTAGACTTTTGTTGGATTTTGGTTTGCTATATAGTTGGCATTTATAAAATCTGAAGTATCACAAATAAAGTATTTATTTATCTATACTACCAGTCTTTTCTACTGGTCTGAGTACTTGGTTCACTCATTAGAGCTGATGTGGCCTGAGCTAATGTAGCTTGCTGCTACATTAGTACTGGGGCTGGTGAGCTTTTGCAGGAATGTCTGTGCTTATATGAAGTAATAGAATTATGTTGGTTATTTTCTTTAGGAAATAGTGAATCCAATTCTTCCAAGGAAGTTGAAAAAGGCTTAGTATTGCCAGGTGCCAGTGGCTCACACCTATAACTAGCTACTCCGGTGGCAGTGATCTGAAGATCATGGTTCAAAGCCATCCCAGGCTGGAAAGTCTGAGACTCTTATCTCCAATTAAGAACCAAAAAAACTGGAAGTATCACTGTAGCTCAAGTGGTAGAACACTAGCCTTGGGCAAAGGAACTCAGCACGTAGGCCCTAAGTTCAAGTCCCAGGACTGGCACCAAAAAACTAAAAAAAAAAAAAAAAAAGTTGGATATCAACGTTGGTGTCAGATAGGTTTAATATCTCAGTGCTGTTGTCCATAGTGAGGTGCCCCAGATAGCAAGGAATGTTCAGACTCTAGAGTGTTCTCTCTACCTTCCCATCAGGTTCCTGCTTTTACTGACAGAAAGGAAATGGAAATGTGCCCTTTCCAGGCAAGGATCCTGTGATTAATGATTGAAACTTCAGTTTTATGTCATTGAGTTTTTTTCCAGTCATACCAGTCTTTTCCTCTTGCTACTGTCCTTACAGTCAGGGTTGCTGGGCTCAGGGGCCACAGTATCTTGTTTAAAACAGAACCCAGCGGTCAGAAGGGATTTACTGTTTCTGGTCCCAGTAAAATGTTGCCTTTTAGGGAAGTCATGTTCCCTTAGCAATTGTTTTATACATCTTGACTTTTTGGATCTTAGTAGTGATCCAAAACTTTCCACTTCACTAAAAGAGAAAAAAACCATGGCCAACAAAAGTACAAAATACCAAATGGTGGTGGTGATAGTGTGTGTGTGTGTGTGTGTGTTGAGTTGTTGGGTTTTGTTCCTGTTTAGACCATGTCTTGCTATGTATCCCAGGCTGGCCTTGAACTCTCCTGCTTCAGCCTCCCAAGAAGCTGAAATGTGTGTCATCATCTTATTTCTAAGATTGTGCTTCTATGTTTTTCTGATAACAGTAAAATGTTTACCCAGGTTCAGGCCTAGATATCCATCCTAGCAGCCTCCATAAGGTTACCATTAATAATGCTGAAGGACTCCCTGTAACTTGCATTGCTCACTTTTTTGGTCCCTCTCCCTACCCCTCACCCCCCATCCCCAATTTTAGGAAGAGGCTTTCCTTCTCTACTATTTTGTCTGTACCAAAATTTGCTTTTGCAGAGGATGCCTTTTTCCATAGTGCCCAGTACACTGATGAAATGTGGGATAAATTCCTGAGAATGGAGACAGGTGACAAGAGGAGATACCTCGACGGTACTTTTTGTACCTGGAACCAAATAATATTTTCTTAGTTCTTTCATGTTGGGTGTGAGTACATCTGAATAGAATTTATACTTACGAGCTTCTGATGCAATGACTCTGGGTCCCTCTATAATTGAGATACTTTGGATTTACATTTCCCACCATTAATTTTCTGTTTTACTATTAATGATCTCAACCTGGTGAAAAATGACTTTTAGGAACTAGTGTAGCTTTTTTGTTCCTGATACCTTATGTTTCATTATTAGCCAGATGTGATTTATGGAAGTTGTATAATATTTGTACTGTTGTTGGGGGATAAATGGCCATGTCCACTCCTACCCTGAATATTTGTGGCATATGTAACTTAGTGGGTTCTCCCACTACAACAATCATGTTCCATGCTCTCCAAAATGATGCAGGACTCTTCATCATGGTCTTAATAGTAAACATGTTTAAACCCTAGAGTTTTACAGGGGAAAGGAAAATGATGAATAAGTGAATTTTAAAGATATTTATTGAATAAGAAGCTAAACAGAGCTGAGCCAAGTATTAAAAGATCCTTCTGATTTTCTTTGTACCCAGCCTAAATTCTGACCTTAGTAACAACTTCTTTGTACCCTGTTAGTTCTTGGTTGGGGTAAGATTGGTCCCACTCACTTAATGATGACAGAACGTGTTTCCTATGACAAATGCCAATACAAAAATTTAAAAATACTCTTTTCCAATTGCACTTTCTAATTTTTTGCTTTTAAAATAGCATCTTAAAATTGTATTTGTACTTAATTTTTGTTCTCATCTAAATGTGCATTTTCTGACTGTATAGAAGAAGCTTTGTTATGTAATTTAATAATAAATATCTAAATGGTGTGCCTATGGTTGTTTGTATTGAAATGATATGCATGAGACAGTTGGAGAATGGTGCTCATGCAATCTTTTGTATTGACAAGTATTTCTCTTGACATTCTAAAACTCTGGACGGTTGAGTGCTGGTGACTCAGTCCTATAATCCTAGCTACTCATGAGGCCCAGAAGATCATAGTTTGAAGCCAGCATAGTTTGAAGTAGGCAAGTCTGTGAGACTCCATCTCCAAAGCAACCAACAGAAAAGCTAGGCTGGAAGCATGGCTTGGGTAGTAGAGCACTATGTAAGCAAGCCCATCAAGGGCAAGGCCCTGGGTTCAAGCACTAGTACCCACAAAGTAAATGAAACAAGATAAAACAATATAGGAATGAAAGTACAAAAAAACCTTTCACCTAATGTTTAAGAAGCAAAGGAGAAACTTTTTATCATCATGAAATGTCAGGAGATATGATGGAGTCAAAAATTCTACATCAGCCAGAAAAAGTCTCACTCTGCTTAAATGATGTGTATGTGCATGCATGGGTCCTGAAGCTTGAACTCTGAGCTGGAGTGCTGTCCCTGAAGACTGCTAACCACATACAAGCATTCAAGACACAACCATATGAATGTACAGTCACAAAATTATACACCTTAAAGTTACTAACTTAGGCTGGGCACTTAGGAGCCTGAGATCTGAGGATCAGTTCAAAGCCAGTTCAAGTGGAAAAGTCTATATGAAATTCTTTTCTTCAGTTAGCTGGAAGTGGAGCTGTGGCTTAAGGGGAAGTGCACCATTTTTTGTCTCTTATGAGGGCAATAATCCTGCTCATAGAGACCCCATATACCTAATTACCTCTCAAAGCCCTCACTAATAGGTTGGGGGTTAATAGTTCAACAAGTGACTCTTGGAAGGAAAGACATTGATACTCAGCCCATAACACTACCTACATGGCCCATCCTGAGGGAGGAGGACTCCCTGGCCTGTGCCTTCTCTGATTTCCATTGTGCCCCTTTGATCCCACTATAGCACTTAGTCATCCTGTTATATTCGCTAGGTGTTTCTTTCTCCCCCATACAACCAAGGTCTGAGCACTTTGAGGGAAGAGGCCATCATAACTCATCTTTATATCCCCCAATAAGTAGACAATATATGCTCAATAAATT